AAGAGTTGGCGGTGAGTGGTGATGACTAGCTGCCTTTCCTCTAGTCTAACGCTGCTAAATTATGGATGGCTAGCACAGATAGCCCTCGTGTAGCTTTGTGCGAAATTCAAAACAAACAAACAAACATGTGAAATAGATGAAATGTTGTTTTCAGTTTAAACAGGTTTGCACACAATCAGCAGATTATACATCAAGTTTTAAGCAAATTTCCCCGAAATCAAAAAAGGTCATACCTATAACAGTTTTAGTAACTAGCCAGTTTTGCTTCTGCCAAACAACATTCACAAAATTTTACAAAATACCTCATAAGAAAGGGCTGCATAACAATCAAAACAAAAAGAGAAGACAAAAACTAACTTTTCTGAAAAACTTCATGTGGTACCTATGGTTTTTATTTTGAAATCTTGAAAACTTTTACTGCTGAAACATAACAAAGTGCATTTTGTTGGATTAAAGGTCAACTATTAAATGTGAAATATTGCATTATCTTTGAATCCGTCAAGCTTACTGACAGTGCTCATACTCTTAAGCATCTCTCTACTATCAAGCAAAGTCAAATTAACAGTTTCTGCAAAATGACACTACATACAGGTAAAATAATGATACTAATAAAGTTTGTAAGCCAATCAAGTCCAGACTGTGATCATGGAGACAAGAGATGAACCAGCCAAGGAAGAGGAGGCAAGGATTTTGTGAAATAGAGCCTTTACTTTCTACAGGTGATCAGTTTTCAGCACATGTCACAAAATGTAATGAATTATGTGGCAAGGCAAATCTCATAAGTACTTGATTCTGATGTTCCAGAAGCTTTTGACTGCCACAGGAACCAATAACATGGTGACATCAGTGACTCACAATGATGATGGTACTCCACACCATTCAGTTGAAGACCACATGTCGATTTTTAAGCCATCTTTAGCCATAAGTATGTTTTGAGATTAAGCCCCATGTACAGATGATTACAAAATCTCCAACTTTAAGAAGCTTACAGAATCCAACCTGTTAAGGGTAGTGTCCAAGTATCAACATAGATGGGCAAATGTAGCATACGTGAAATACAGACTGATGCCTTTATCAAATCTTTACCCACATCTATGAAGGATCACTCTCATCTTAAAACTCATCAAATCATACTCCTTAAAAATATTGAAGCAAGATTACAGAGAAAGCTGCAGCTAGAAGACTTGTCTATCAGATTGAACACTACTACCATCATTAACATGTGGTTACTGCAATGGAAGAGAAATCTGGATCAATGCTGCTGAATTCGCAGCTGATACATGCAAGGAGTTTGATGCTGATTAGAGCCTCTTGGCAACAGCTTTAGACTTGAAATACACCTCCAAAGGAGTCCAGATGCCCATTCTTGCTGACAAAATGTTTGTGATAGGCATCAGTATAACAAGTGTAAGATGGATCATAGCTGCACTAACTACCAGCTAACAAACAAACTGAATCAACACTGGCACTGGCCTACTTCGACAATCACCATTCTTGCCTGTCATCTTCAACATCTACAACATTGGTCTAGCCCGTCTCAGCAGTCCAACCACGTGCTAAGCTTCACTAATGACATTCTGATGTACGGCAGAAGCTCTAGTAAAGCTGAAATAAAAAGCAAGATGCAACAATCCCTTAGCATATTTGACCAAATGGAGCAATGACACAGGAATGGTCACAAATCCTGCCAAAGCTACACTTTACAAAAGATATTCTGATGAGAACAAACCATCACCATCCTTTGAAAGCACTACTATCCCTCTGGAAGCATATCTGAAGTATGTGGAGGTAACCTTTGACAGACAATTCAAATAATTAACACCACAATAAACAAATACCAAAAGCATCATCACACTGAAAGTTACAGAAGGAAATACAACTGAAGAATTTCACATGCTTATACTCAATCAAAACTTTATCCAGTGCATTTTAGATTATACCCTACTAATCATCAATATGAGTGCTACACAGATAGATAAGACTGAAAAGATGCTAAAACAACTGTTTAAGACTGGTCACAGGATGTGCTTTATCACTTTTATTGAAGCCCTATAACACCTCACAAGCCTCAACAGCTTTGCAGAACACCAACAGTACTAACAAGCAACGTTTTTCACTAACACCTGCAGTATAAAGACCATACATTCCATCATTGTGCCACTGCCATTTTCCAATGAGACATTAAAGCTCCTTAACAACCCCATAAACACCTATCAAGTGGGGGATTACCATAAAGGTGCCTAAGAAGACATTCAAGGATGGATACATGCTACACAGCCACAATGAAATAATTAATCACCATCAAATCTCCAATATCTCTCCATGTGGAGTAAATAACCGGTACCACTGGGGTCCATAGAAATAATCCTAGACATCATAGTCACTGATGGTTCCTACACCAAATACAGCAAGAGAGAATTCATTATCTCATGGAACAACAATATTTTGCATAATACTGGTGGAGCATTAAAGATTCAAAACAGCACATTAATGGAGCTGAAAGTCATAAAGCAACTTCTCCCCAGGACTGCTGAAAGTAGACAATGTCAAAAACATAATATTTGCAATTGATTCATGCATAAAATTCAAAATAGTTGGTCCTATGATGAATAGCTGAGATTAAAGCAAACACATGGTAAGACCATCACCTGGATACATGTGCTAGGCCATGCAGGAGTAAAGTTAAACTACGAAACTAACAGTGTCACATGAGAAGCCTCATTTTCAAAACCAACACAGCTCACACATAGGAAATTAACCTCTTCCACACTTATGAGGTGAAAGTGGCAACCACAGAAGGTCTCCATAAACACTCAGCAGGAATGAGGCAACTGGCAAACAAAATATCATACGATGTAGCTACAAAAAAGCAAGAGATGGGGAATCAATTAGACTGTATACAGCCAGAAGGCCACTGGTAACAGATGTAAAGGAACTCTCTCTTACTTCTTGTGAGGAGGCTGTTCTCCACATGACGAGACAATGCCTATCAGTACAACCTCTCGGATTTTTACTTAATACTCAACTTTTTGAACTTGTTATGGTACGACAGCTCTCTAACATCTTTTCACTATTGACACAAACCTTGAATTCAATGACTGGAAACTGACAATTTCTTAAAATCTTAATAATCTTAACCATCAGGTTGTTATCAGTCAACCTATTATATAATTATAATAAATATTTTTTCATCTAAAAGTTTTAATTATTCACAATTTTCAATCCATTAGAAAATTAAATTTAAACCTTAAAGCCAAAAGATATCATAATAACTGCATTCAGGTATAGCACCGAAGGATGATTCCTGAGTGCAGTTGTGTCTTAAGTTATACCCATAAATCAGCTTTTGTTGGTAAAACATTAATATTTTCAGCACAGGCTTGGTCTCTGGGACCAACCTTGTTACCATTTTATGTTTACCATGTGGTCTCATGATTTCTATATCGATTTAGATCATCAGAACTCATTCAAAAACTGTGAATAACAAAGCATTGTATGTAACTTCTCTTTAAATATGGTAATTATGACGTTTGAATTTAAGGTTAAAATTCATACATCATAATTAAAGAGAAGTTACATACGAGTAGTTGAACTTAACACAACTGCATGCCTTATTGTGTTAGAAGTCTCAATGTATGTATTACAATCTTGCTGGTCTGTTATTTTTAGACAACTAAGTATATTAAAACTAGTAATTCTTGCCTCTCAAATATTGCATTTAAGTTTGCAAATCTTTCACATGAAAAAAAATTACTTTGGTGTTGTTACATCACACCAATGCAAACAAGCAAGCATTGTGTTAGTAGCCACTACTAGGCCTGTTAAAGAAGTTAACAATGTTAAACAAAATTTTCATGTTAATATATTAAAACATTATACTAATGAATAAGACTCAGTCAGGAATAAACCACATTTCCCAAATAAAATAAAGAGATTCAAGAGTAGTAAGCTGAGGTTAATACCTTTTTTCTTCTTTCAAACTCTTCCAAAAGTGCCTGCTTTTCTTTGTTGACTTCTGCTTCAATGTCCATATATTCTAAAAAAAATTGAATACACAGCATCATAGACTTTTAAGGTTAGATAAAAATGTTAGACATTATTTGAACTGAAATTTTAGTTCAGACATTTTTCACCTAAAACTCAAGAAGAATTACAGATGAAAATTAAACACAAAACTCAGAAATAAGCTTAAGATAAATTTTATTTTGCATCTCTAGTAAAAAAAAAAGTCACATGCCTTATATCTCTTTTCATGTAATTAGTTGATAATGAACTATTTCAGATATATATATGTCATTTACAGTTAAACCTCCTCTACTACCAACCTTCAGATATATTAATGTTGCTAGCTTCAACAGCTGTTTTGTTGCCATCGTCTGCTTCTTCGGAATCACTCTTCTCTTCTTCTCCATCACTTGACTTTTTTTCTTTCTCCAAAAGTCTTTCACGTTCTTTTTCCTCCAGACTGCCATAATGTACAATCTTCTGTTTCTTCACATATGTTCCTTCCTCATCATCTGACATCTTTAATCAATGCTGTTGAAGTTCAGAGAGAAAAAAAAATATTATTACAGGTTGAAGGCTCTCAATTACTAGTTTACAGTAAATTAAACTTAGGTCCAAAAAGAACATTTTCAATAAGTAAAAATAATGTAAGCAAGTAAAATACTTATATATATTACAATATTGTTTTGGGTGTATGTAACTGTTCCATCATCTTAGTGTAAAAAAATCTGTTAACTTTCCAAACACTGTATGAACTTAATTTTAAACTAGATTCTAGAGCACCTTTGATTCTGTTTGTTTGTTTGTAATTAAGCACAAAGCTACACAATTTTTGATTCTGTTTACAGGCTAGATACCCAAACTTAAGTTTCATTGTCACATCTTCAGTGATATTAATATAACATACGAACAATGAATCATTTGGTTTTTCACAACTTTCCCTGAACACCCATGTACCCCTTAGAAAAATAAAATAAAAATTTAAACAAACCCTTTATTTTTCAGAAAATCATTAATTTTCCTATCAAATCCTTGTAAGATTCCTGCTCATACAACTGCCAATGACAACTCATTCAATAAGCTAATAACCATGTTAAAGAAACAAAATTGTCTGAATTGGAGTCCAGCATGTCTTTTCCAAATTTTAAACTTATGTTCTCTTCTCCTATTCAAAATATAGTAGTAAAACATCAAGCTTAAGATAGATGGGAACCCACTCAATAGCCTTACTGAAGAAATGGATCTTGGCACAGTAGCAGATAAGTCATTTAACCTTTTCTGGACCAAGATCAATCTAATGCTAGAAAAAATTAAAAGTCATTCAAAGTATTTATTTAGTGTTTAGAATGCAAAATATAGAGCAAGTAAAAAAATCCCTTCCTAAGGTGTGTGCCAGATATCTCCAGTTTTCATGTATAACTATGAGTAAATGCTGTTCAAATGGTATGTGCCATATCTGACCCATGTGACAATAAAAAGTTATCAATAAAGTGCTCTTTTGTCAGTAGTAATGCTAACAGAATCTTAGGCTGTATTCATAGACATATTGATTACAAGTCAAAACAATTATCTCTAAAATTAACTCACTAATGTAGGCCACACTTTCAATACTGTGTGTACAGTTTTGGTTTCCTTGTCTAAGAAAGGATACTGACTTATTGGAAAAAGGTTCAAAGGAGGGCTACTAGGATGATTCCACTTCCAAGAATGGAAGAGTTATCTTATGTAGATCAGTTAAGATTTATTAAATTATTTTATTTGTGAAATAAAAAAGGGGAATAAGTTGTGATCTTAGAAATGCTTACAAGATTATTGAGGATTTTAATAGAACAAGGCCTTTGCTTTCTTTGTGCAATATTATGAAGACAATAGGATGGCAGGACACAAGTTGAAGATTTGAAGAACACAGGATAGGCTCTAGTTAAGCAGTGTGATTTTCTAACAGTATTCTTGAGGTCGGACATTTGGGAACTTTGCCCTCCGACAATACAGTGTCGACATAGAAACTGAGGTGAAGGGGCAAACAAATAGTGCAACAAAATGGAAATTTTGTTCATCCTGTACACTTTTCCACTGTCTAAACTCGTATTTGTAACAACTATTTGTGTTTGTGATGAGTTTCTGTTGTTCCAAACCTGCAAAAATGGTAAAGGTTTGTTGTGTATCCAATTGCACCAATAACAAGTCGAAAAGGTGTGAATTTTCCTGTTATTGATACCCAGTCCTCTAGCTTGCCTTAATAGTAAGCACAAAGCAAACATTTGTGGGCTTCTATTTCTAGCTTCGAATCTTCTTAAG